GCAGGAATCACTCAACTGTAATCAGGAGAGGGAAAAGAAACTAGACAACCAAACCAAAGCCAGAAGAAATAGAATCTCCTTCTGCAACCCAAGCACACCACCCAAAGAGTGCTGTGGAAATCTGCCTACTGTTCTTCCTGTCTTCTGTCAGCTCTGCTGCCTTATGAGGTGGAGCTTTTGTCACCTCACTTTGGAGCCATGGAATAGACCAGTTGTGGCCCTTGGAGCTTCTCTTTAAAGTTGAGGTGAGGAGCCACTTGAATAGGAACTTAGGTTTGCAGATGCAGAGGTAATGTGATAATGGAAGCATATGGGGAAGGAAAGGGAAAAGACAGCCTTTGCAGGGCTGGGGGAGGGTGTGTGTATGTGTATTCTTGCGTATGCTTTCAGCCTCTGGCAGGTCCTGAGGCATCCTGCAGATGACAGGTGGAAGGGGAGCATAGTCACCCCTTGTGCTTGGGGCATGGTCTGCTCCAAAAAACCTGGTACTGCTGGCAGGCAAAAGGGAGGGTCCCTGTGCACCAAGGACTTGGGATTAGATTCCTACCCAGGGACCTTGGTGGGAGTTGCCTGAAATCTGTAATGTGTCCTGCAGTAGAGGTGAGAGGTTCAGCTTACATTTCTTTCTGCTGCAGCTCCCCAAAGGACTTTTTGGGTCTCTAGAAATCTCCCTACTACTTCCTGGCCTTTGCTGCTCTCTTGGCTCCCCCTTTGGGAAGCAGGGCTTGTGCTTTTCCGCTATGCTCTGACCAGCGGTTTTACTGATGCAAACTGAAGAGGAGGGCAGCAGCTATGATCAGGCTTTGTCCTGGAGTATCTTACCTCCAGACCTCTCTCTGGGAGTCATTCCCCTGAAGCCCTCCCTTGTCTTCCCATGCCAGCCTTGGAGAAGCACATACCTGCATGTTGACCTGGATGGGCTGTCTCTCCCCGCTCTTCGTATGGGTCACCCCTTCTGTGTCGTAGATCCCTGTGTAAGAGGCCACCTGTATATCCCTTGATTTCTCTTCCAGTGGGACATTGACACCCCCAATGGCCATTGTGCTGCAAAGAGACAGGATTCAGTCTTTCAGAAGTCCTGCAGGTCCCCTTCCCTTTGAGCCAGCATGTGGGCTGGCAGCCTCTCTGCTGGGGGACGCTTCAGGGATTTTAGCAGACCTGCAGGTGCTGCTGACTCACTGGGTCTTCTGAAAAATATCAGGGCTCTGCAGTCACCGAGGGAAGGTGTCGAAAGGAAAGGCAGGAGGGATCTGATCTCAAGTAGCTAGGGCGAGGTTAGTTCTATCCCTTCTCCAGAGCCAGTTCCCCATCTGCATCCTTCCTGGTCCCAGTCTATGCTTTGCCATGCTGCAGCAAGGGTTGGGCATGGTGCATCCCTGACATGCAGGGCTGGAAGGGGGCCTCATCCCTCTGCCTCCAAGGCAAAAACCGCAGGGTTTAGAAAAGGAGCTGTGCTTAAAAGAGCTCGGGGGGACAGGTGTGGAGGGAGAGGGAAGGAAGCATCTCCCAAATGCCAGCTGGGCAAAGCAGTGGTTAACAGCTGACCAGGGACCTAGAAACAGGGCCACCAAAGTAAAAGGGCAGGGAGAAAAGAAATCACGGAAACCCTGTGCTGTCAGCCTGCCAGGAAAAAATATTAAACCTCTAAAAATAAAGCGGAAGGGAAGAAAGGGCCGGGGGGAGTCACCCCGAGCTGCACTTACGTGGCCTGGACGGTGCCGGGCCGGAGGGACACCTCGATCTTGTACTTGGCCCCGGTCAGCA